TGTTGGGTTAATGGGTTAATGTTGGACTTGTGGGCTTGGGCAGCATTGGGTTGGGATGTTTTTGTGATGCACCTTTTCTTTACATAAAACTCTTATACATGAGTTGCTGTGGATTTGTTTCTCCAAAGTACCCAGACTAATACATCATGACAAATACCCCGCTCCTTATTTGTCCTCTGGGGTCCTGGCTCTCTTCATCTCTCCACCCAACCCTTGTAGTTCACAACAGGAGCCAGCGGGGGAAGGAGACGCATCATCAGAACTTCCATCTACTTATGTGCTCCCACCTGCTGCTCTTCCCACCCAGCAGGACCACCGTCCTGAAAATTATGTCCTCTTTTCCTCAGTTTCCTTTGTATGTAGCTTTATCTCATCTGTCTATAGAATTCAGCATCACACACACCGTTTTGAGGATTAACTTTATGAAAAGGGGAACTACCTGTCATCTTTTGGGACTTGTTCTCTCGCTGTGACATTACTGAGCTCCGTCTGCTCTGGTGGGCATCACAGTTCCTTCTCTTGAGTGTGGAGACCTGTGTCGCGGTGTGTTCATCCTTCCCGATGGCTTCTTATGTGATGGCATTCCCGTCTGTGCCCGTTGTGGTGTGCACACACAAACGTGCCGAGTGGGAGTGCCAAGTTGCACGGTCTCATTTTTCCCACACGTTCCCACCAGCCACCTCTCAGAGATCTGTGTCCTGGGGGTCCAGAGCAGTTTCATCCTTACACTGCCCGTGTTTTACCTTCTTGCCACTTGAACGGCTATAAGATGGTTTTCCTTTGTGGCTTCGATGACGGCATCTCTGACGACCGGTAAAACCGATCTTCGTCTCTTCATATATGTTTCTTCTTCTGTGAACGTGTTTCATGCCTTTTGTCTATTGTACAGTGGTTTTGTTTCTGTGTTTCTTACTGTATTGTAGGCATTCCTTTAAACACTCTTTATTCAAATCATTAGTTTCTCATAGTTCTCTGAAACCTCTAGTTTTCTTTACAGAATCTTGAGAAGCCTACATAATTAATTTTAAAAAATTGTGTTTAATACACATATATCTTCACTGCTATCATGTCGATGCTGACTCATAGCAACCCTATAGGACAGGTTAGAACTGCCCCTTTGAGTTTCTCCCTGGAGGCAGCTTGAGGTTTTGAACTGCCAACCTTGGCGAATTGCAGCCCGACACATGACCACTATGCCACCAGGGTTCCTATACGTATATATAGATAATATTTATGTTTATACATATAAAACCAAAACCCATTGCTGTTGAGTCTATTTCAAATCACAGCAACCTTACAGGACAAAGTAGAACCACGTCAGGGTTTTTAAAGCTGTAAATCTTTATGGAAGCAGCTACCACATTTTTCTTGTATGGAACAACAGGTGGGTTTGAACTGCTTACCATTTCGTTAGCAACCAAGTACTTTAACCCCTGTGCCACCAGGGCTCCCTTATTCGACATTAGGGAGTTGCTGATCAAATTCACAGCGATAGATCATCTCATCCCCACGCAGGTGGCTGTGACTGAATAAAGAAAAAGAGAACTAGAGATGTTATCAAGGAGGTGGAGAAATTGGCACCCTCGCCCATTGCTGGGAGGATTATACCATAGTGCAGCCAATGTGAATTAAAAAAAAATTACCTTTTTCTTTACTCTTAACAGAAGGTAAGTGCCCCCTAGGCAATGGCTCCCTCTTTCATGTCCCACCCACCCCTGACAACCACTAATAGACTCTGGTCTTTATGTGTTTGCCTGCACTAGATAGTCATTTTAACGAGGTCGTGGTGATCCTTTGGTGTAATCTTTCAAAGTTCATCCTGTTTGTAGTGTGTCTCATGATGTCATTTCTTCTTATGACGCATTAATACTCCATTATGTGTATATACCACGTGTTGCTTGTTCATTCATCTGCTGATGGTTGTTTCAGCCTTTGGGCTATTGTGAATGTCTTTATGAACATTGGTGTACAAGTATCTGTGCACACCTGCTTTTCATTCTTTGGGCTGTATCCTAGGAGCGGAATTGCTGAATCACAGGGTAATTCAATGTTTGGCTTTTGAGGAGCCTCCAAACTGTTTTTCCCAATGTCTGTACCATTACATAATCCTTCCAGTAATGGGCAGGGGTTCTGATTTCTCCACATCTCCCTCACACCTGTTTTCCTTTCTGAATTTTATTTCTACGAGTCAAAATTGACTGGATGGCAGTGGGGCCGGGTTTTGGCTAATGACTAATTTGTTTCTCTTCACTTATTATATATTTTATATGATTATTAAATATGATATCATTTTAATTTTGTGTTACATCTCCTTAATGACTAGTGAGGGAGCCTGACTGACACAATGGTTAAAGCACTTGACTGCTAACAGCAGTGAGAGACAGATGTGGCAGTCTGCGTCCATAAAGATTTACAGCCTGAGAAAAAACGCGGGTCAGTTCTCTGTTGCCTACGCGCGGCACACATTGCAGTCGTTTTGAAGGCAGTGCTTTTATTTATTTTATTTTATTTTTTATCAGTCCCGTGTCTTTAGAATTAGAACTACGCTAGACCTGGCAGCCAACGGGGAGACGTACTGGCCAGGAAGGCGGGGTGGGCTCAGGCCCTGGGGATTCAAGGGCAGGCCGATGGCCTGGGAGAGGCCAAGGAGACCGGTGTTGAAGCAGCTGCTGGAGGTGTTGGCAGCAGCTTGGAGGTGTCCTGGGACCCCCAGCTGGTTCTGCAGGGGGTGCAGGGTGAGGTGGGCCGGCCAGGAGGTCACCAGGGCACTCCTGCTCTGTGTGCCTAAATCACCCACTGGTCTTGATCCTGCTCGGTGCCTTCCATGTCCGCCTCTCTGACCTCGCCCTCGTCAGGGGACTCACAGTAATCGTTCATCTCGTCCATGTCCTGCATATCCTCATCATCCTCAGTCTTCCTCACTATCTTTTTTTTTGTTGAGATATATAAGTATTATATTAAAGTCATCGAGAGCATGAGAGATATTACAATAATGCAGTCAGACACATTACATGGTAGCATTGCTCACCTCAGCCCAGCTTGGTGGTCCACGTGGAGAGAGGGGGAAGGGAAGGAGGGCAAGGGAACAAGGGTAAGAGAGGGGAAGCCAGAGAGAGTCAGAGAGGTCCGAGCTTCCTCACTATCTTCATCGTCTTCTTCCTCCTCCTCCTCATAGTGCTCTGAGGCTGGCTTGCCAATAGGTACCAGGTTGTCCTTTCCTGCAATGCTCTGGAGCCTGGCCTGATGCTGCTGTTCCTGCTGCGGCAGTTCGGCCTCCTCCACACAGGGCCGGTCCAGATGAAGCCAGAGCGTCTCAGTCACACGGGGGAAGAGTGAGGGAAACAAAGTAGACATGGCTCCTAGACACGGAAGAGCCTGCCCAAATCCCGGGTCAAACCAAAGGCACATGTCCTAGGCTGCCTTTGGGTTCCCGCTCTCTCTGCTTTTGTGGGTTTTTTTAAGGATGATTAATGATATTGACTCCTGGTGACCCCGTAGGACAGAGTAGAACTGCCCCTGTGCGTTTCTGAGGCTGCAAGTCTTTACAGGAGTAGAAAGCCTCGTCTTTCTCATGCTGAGCAGCTGGTGGTTTCAAACAGCTGGCCTTGCAGTTGGCAGTTGGATGCATAGCCTACTACATCCCCAGGCCCATAGCAGTCACTTTGGTTCTTTTGGCTTGATGATGTTAAGCATCTTTTCATCTGTTAGAGGCCATTTGTGTATTTAGTGAAATGTCCACTCAAGTCCTTGTCAGACTTCTAGTTACATTGCTTTGTGGTCCTGGATATTAAGCCTGAGTCAGATAAGTGGTTCCTTAGCTGTGTCCCTCTTGATTGGACATTAGACTATCACTCTGTTTTAAGTGTACCACATCGAAAATCTCTCCATGTGCCTTTCAGAGAACATCTGTGGGTGTTTTCCTGAGATAGAGACTAGGAAGTGGAATTTGATGGAAGAGTATCGACATTATTAACATTTTAATAGGTAATGCAAAATTGCACACAGAAGGAACAATTCATTTAGCTTTCCAGTAGCAATGCACATGACAGTCCTTGTCCCCCTGCCCCCCCCCCCCCACCCCACATACCCTGGCTAATGCTTTAACACTATCCCCACTGAACACACTTGCCCATTAGGGTATTTGGATGTTCATCTCCTGATCTCTATTGAGATCGAGCACCTTTGTGAGAGTGTGGGGGTTTGGTTTTGGGGGTGGTGGTAGGGCTGGGGGTAGGCAGCAAGTTTTCCAACTGACATTGAGTTTATCTTTCCGGTTGTGGGTCTGAAATGTCCCCTGGTGTGTCTTGTAGCTCTGTTTTCCGTTCATCTCTATACTCACTGGATCCTTTCCATTCTCTGGAAAACCTTTGCTAGCACTTCCCCTTCAGTTTCTTTTCTTTTTCCTATGGGAGCAGTTAGGTATGTTTCTATATTATTGGACTTTCTTTTCTCTTTTATAATTTTGAGTTGCGTATCATTTCAGACCACATGCCGGGAAATTCCTTGACTGGGTCTCCCAGATTAACCTTAAGCTGTGTCCGTCTGACCTCCAGGCAGCCCCGCTACTAAGCTTCTTCTATAGACCACAGTAGCCTCGACCTCCTAGATTTCCCTCTCGGTTCTTTCTTCGTGTATGCGATGTCCTTTTTTTGACCCCTCAGATGTGATAGATCTGTTTTATTAGAGTCCTCTCTTTGAAAATCTTTGATTTGTTTCGCTGACTCTTGCTCCCTGCATGTTATTTCTCCCCTCACTGGGTTTGCTGCACCTCCCTACTTAGTATGGATTTCCCAAAGCACATCAAGCAGTTGAGGAAGAATTCCAGCAAAAACACTCAAAGTGTGTATGTGAAAATCGGTTTTGCTCCCTTACTCCTTAATTCTGTTACTGTGTGCTTGTGGGTTGGTACCTACTCTGGATGGCATTGGACAGCGGAGAACTGCTCTGCAGTCTTAACCCCGTCTGTCATCCTCACTAGAGCAGTTCGCCCGGTCTGTTATCCCTTGGTGGAGCCACTCTGGTGGATTTGAACCACCTACCATATGATTAACAGCTAAACGCTTAGCCATTGTGCCAACAGGGCACCTCTTCTCCCTGGTAGTGTTGGATAAATGTGCTTTCTTGCAAATATATCAGATCCTTATGATTATGCTGCCTGAACCTAAATTAGAGCCTTCTTCAAATTAATCAGTGTTTCATTGATTTGCTAAATATTTATTCAGTGCTTCCTCTGTGCTAGGCATTGCTTAAGACGTTGTATTAGAATGCATTCATTGATCTAGCTTAGTTGGAGGGGCGGGCTGGATTGATGGGAATTTATGAGAATGAAACAATGTGGTTTTAGTGAAAGGGTTAAATTTCAAGAACATAATTTCATGGTATCACAGGAGCCGCAAACAACACACCACTACTTGGCCTCAAAGGAGTTCTGTTTCCTGTGCGTTCCAAAGTTGGTGATGGTTTTATCTCTGAATTACAGTCATAAGCAGCACATGTTGCTGTAGAGTTTGAACGGCAGTGCACTCCAAAGCTAGGGGATATTTTAATTGATTTCTAAAAGGCTTTTTATGTCTCTGTGGAAAAAGCACTGTCCTTTAACAAGTTGTCTTCAATCTATGACTAAGATAGGTTAAATAGTCATTTATTTGATCCTCTTAGAATCTGGCAATGAACTTGGGTTCAGGCTGTTGGCTGGGCAGCAAGCTGACCATCTCGAAATGAGATGTGAGAATTTATGAGAACACTTTCTGCTGACTCTCCAAGAACTTCTTTATACTCATTGTCAGAATTCACTGGCTAGGGGGCACTGTGGGCAAGATCAGTGCTTCAAACCCGCCAGCTGCTCCACGGGAGAAAGATGAGACTGCTTGTTCTTGTCAAGATGTGTCATCTTAGAAACCCTATGATTCACCATGAGTCAGCATCAACTCGGAAAGATGTTGACGAGGGACATACCTCAGGAATACTGTTTCCTGGGCACACCTTGTTTTATTTTCCAGAAGAGAAATGCACTTTGAACCTTGTCTCCCCTTGACTTTTTGGGAAACATGCCAGTAGCAAATGACATTTTTCAGTCCACTGAGGGGTTCCTTTGTACTGCATGCCGGGTGTTGGTGGGAAGAGCCTCTTAGAGCCGTGGCAGTGACCTCTGACCTCTTGTTCGCCACAGATCCCAGATTACAGGAATGCAGTCATTGTGGCCAAGTCTCCAGCCTCAGCTAAGAGGTAGGTCGTCCGCTCATCACATCTCTGGGGCCGAGTACCAGGCCGAGTACCAGGCCTTCTAAACATTCTGACATCATTTCTTTTATCGACCGTATATTTTAGAGCACTTGTTCTGCCAGCTCCCTATAGGAAGGGAGGATTTATTTCCCCCACCCCACTTCTCTTTCTCCATGTTAGTCTGTGATTGATGGTCCTTTTTCTTGGTCAAAGCCATGTAGGCCCGGGAACTCCCAGGGGAGGAGATACTGGTTGGAAACCTTCCTCCCTCCTGGCCGGGAGCACTGCTGCTTGTCTTCCCGTCTGGCGTTCCAACCTGGCGGAGAACTTGGCAGTTGCTTGCTCGCTCTTATTCCAAGACCTCAGTCCGTTATTAACAGAGGGGAGTCGCCTGAGAGGCCACCCACTTTTGTGCTAGATGCACATCCGTGTGAAACAACATCCAGCCTCTCTCAGGTTTGTATGGGGGTAGGCTGGAGAGTCAGGAGAGCTAGGTGGGTGTACCCTTAGTAAGACAGTGCCGCAAAGTGCAGCGTACCTGCGAGGACTTCATAGTCCGGGCGTTTTGTGGAGAAGGCAGTGCCCTGGCGAAGGAGAGAGCCAACTCAAAACTTAAGAATAAAGGGGCCCTTTAAGAAGATTTCCACCCATGAAGCCCCTTGCTCCCTGGGTCTCCGCTGAATCCTGTGGCAGGAAGACAAAGGAGAGGTAGCCCCACGTTGGCCAGGGGCTGAAGATAGAGCAGAGGTGGCCCATAGTAAACCACCGATTTAAACATGGCTTCAAATAAGTAGCATGTGCATCCAGAATGAATTTGTGGCTGTGTGTGTGCAGTGCAGTGGGTTGTCATCTGTGATGGAAGCACTGTTGCTCTTTCCCTGAGCGACCTACCTCACCGTGACACCAAGCATCGGCCTCCACGGGATCCCATTGCTCAGACTGTAAGAGGCCTCGACGCTGTTTGGAATATCCACCATTCCAGGCAGCTGTTCAGAACTCTTGTTCAAAGGCCAAACTGATTTAAATTGAGTGATTTATACATATTTTTGAGTTATTTATTTAATCATTGATGCACATATATGTGATGCACATGATTTTTTTTTTCATGTAAATTTGTTGTTTCTGCCTTTATTCGCCTTGCTCATCTTCCCCTACCCTCCCCGGTCTTGTCATGCATGTAGATGACCTGTCATGATTTCTGCCCAATTTTCTGCATGCGCATACCATCGTATAGCTGTGTATGTCTTTGTAAAATAATGAACAAACTCAAGCCTAGCATTATCAGCAGTTTCCTGAGTCTGGCTTTTCTCACCCAGCAGTACCTTGTAGCATCCCCTGCCGTGCGAATTGGTGTGGCCCTTGCTCATGGTTTTTAATGGCAGCGGTGAAGTGGGTGTGCTGTTCAGCTGTCTCCCCACTGATGGGCCTCATGCTGTCAGCAACGTTGGGTGCATCTCTCTTGACGGGCCCGTGTCTTCATTTTCATGGGATATGCTACCCGAAATGATCTCTGGGCCAATGGTTAGGGGTGTTTTTAATTTTAATAGATGCTGCCTGATTGCTTTCCCGAAAGGCTATAATTCTTCCATCTCTAATGAATTTTGGAAGGATTCTTTTCCCACAGTCCTTTAGGCAAAGAGATGTTAGAGCTTTAACAATTTTAGGTATAGTAGGTAACAGATCTTAAAAAAAAAGGAAAAATTATGGCATCACAAAATACTTCGATTACAGTCATTTTCAGATATATAAGCCATTGACGCTCACCAGGGCACCATGTGGTACAGCAGTCACCACTGTCCATTTCCACGTTTTTTCCTTGGCCTTCCACGCCGTCAACAGAAGTTCAGTGCACCTTCGTTAGTGCTTTCCTGTGCACCCTCCCATCTGCCCTTGACCCAGCAATAAACTCCAGCCTCTGTGTCTGGCCTGCTCTCGATATTCATGGGATTCGTTTTACTGTGGCATCCAGAAGGGAGCATACACTCTCTCTCAGGCTTGTCTGACATCTTGAGTTAGATAGCAGTTTTTATGGAAATATATTCCCGGTGGCTGCCTTTTCTTCTTGTCTCTTAATACTCACACACACACACACACACACACACACACAAATACGCTTTCTGTGTGTCAAATTATGCCACACAGTCTGTGTCTCACGAAGGGCCAGGAGGAGAGTGAATCAGTCTTCACGTGCCAGCTCGGTCTTGTGAAAAATCCCAGAATTCTAGTGCTTTCTTTCTGATCGTGAAGATAAAACAAGCTCCCACTTTCACCTCCTGGTTCATTCTGACACCCGCCATCTGCGTGGCACTTCTTTCTCTGACCCTGACCTGACTCCGAGAAGCCCCATAGGGCATCGTGGAACTGCCCCCAGGGTTTCCCAGACTAATCTCCGTGGAAGGCCGATGGCCACGTCTTTCCTGTGGAGCAGCTGGTGGACTTGAACTGCCCGGCTTTCATTTATGCAGCCAAGTACTTCTCTGCTGTTCCACCGGCCCCCGCTCATTGAAATCCGCTCTAGCACGCAGGCTAGGAGCTCCTTGAAGCTCAAGGAGAGCTCACATCAAAAGGACGTCGTCTTTCAGGCTGCCGAGTCGGCAAAGGCTAGCTGTCAGCTCGAGTCCACCTAGCACGCTCATTTCTGACTTGTGAGTCAGGGTTGGGTTGACCCACTCGCCCCTCAGGGCCCCAGCCCCCATCTCAGGAGCCCCCCTAGACTCCCACACTTGAACCTCAGGCTTCTTCTGCTGGTCCTTTGGATTCAAGATGTGCTAGAATAACTCAGAATTCACAGAAAGTACTGTGATGTGAATATAGCAAGAGGAGACAGGCACAGCAGGACCAGCATTGAAGAGGCGAACGGGGAAGGTTTCAGAGCGGTCCCCACGTGGAGCTCTCCTGCCCCACAGTGGCCTGCTCCTCTTCTACGTGCGTTTTCTCACCAACCAGTACGCGCTCAGAACTGCAGTCCCCGCCCATTTGTGCAACTCTTCAAGTCTCCTCTGGAGGTTGTGGATAACAAAGCCACCTCAATTACCTGGGAAATTCCCAGCGTTCCCTCTCAGAAACCAAAGTTGACCAAGTTGAATTCTTTTGGTCTTTTTCTTGGAAATATGAACTAGATTCCTCATGGTAAGGGCCAGACCAACTTAGGTGTGTTTGGCACTGTTTTTTTCCTTCTTCCATCAACAGAGTTGTTAAACTAATAGAGGAATGACAGGAAAGGTGTCTTACTTTCTACCGAGAAAGACAAATGTAACTTTATAAAGCAAGCACGAATTTAAATTTGTTGAAGTAACTGCTAACATTGTACCAAAGCTTTCTTTAGTTACATGGTGTGTTTGGGAACCTGCAGAGAGGCAAGACTTTATCCCACGTTAAAAACAAACAGACTAGTTAAAAACAAACAGACTAGCTGCTGTGAGCCCGTTCTTACTCAAGGCAGTGCTAGGAGTCTCAGAGCAGAACTGTGTGTACTTCCTGGGGTTACTACAGTGGCTGGGTGTTTTAGAAGTAGCAAGGCCTTCTGAGTTGCCTCTGGGTCAGCTTAAAACCTCAAAACTTTCTAAGTAGTCAAGCACGCCAACTGCTCTCCCACAGGCCCTGTTGTGCATTGGGCTGCGAACCACAGGCCAGCGAGTTCAAAACCACCAGCTACTCCCGTGAAAGGATAAGAGTCTTGGGCACTCACAGGGGCAGTTCTACCTTGTCCTGTAAGAACTCGGACCGGGCGCCAGGGTTCTCAGACGAGTTGCCCTCTGGGTGGGCGATCTGACTCTTTGGTGACCTGTGTCTACAGAGTATAATTGTGACCTTTCAGGGACAGATTTCCAGGCCTTTCTTCTGAGGTACCTGTGGGTGGGCACACGCTGCCACTTTTCAGGTAATAACATTTATGTTGCTCAGAGACAACTTCAAAAATTTCAAACCAACACAAAAGCATAAAATAATACAATGGACTCTTCGCATTTATATTCAAGCTTTAGGAATTAACCATCTTACTGTAAGTGGAAACTTCTGTTTCCAAATCATCACCACGGTCATTTTAACTTTAAAGGGGACTTCCATTTCCTAGTCTCTGGATGAGGCAGCTAGTTAATGCAGATGGCTGCTGACTGAAAGGTTGGTTTTCGTGCCCCGAGAAGTACCTGCGAAGAAAGACCTGCTCATCTGCTGAAAACCCGCCCTTGGAAACCGTGGGAAAGCTCTTCTCTGACACACATGTCCCAGGAGGTGGAGTCCCTGACTCAAGATGGGGCTCATCTTGCTGGGTCCAGGGCCAGGGCAGGGTGGGGCGGGCGGGGCTCCTCACTTCCTGTTGCACTGGAGGGCAGTTTGATGGACTGTTTGACCAGAGGCCCCCGGAGGTGGTTGAGGCCTTTCGTGTCTGTGTTTTTGTTTTGATTTTTGATATTCACTCCCTATAAAATCTTCAAATAGCTGGTTGGGTCATGAAGAGGGAAATGGGCCCTGCGGCTTGGTGGGGCTTTTATTTGTACTGAGCCGCAGCCCGTTGCTTCAAAGCCACAACCACCCGAGACATTTCCACTTGTGGCCAGTGTTGACTTCCCTGTGGGCGCGAAGCTTTACTCAAGTCCTGGACGTGCCCGACAGATGCATCTGCCTTCCGTTTTAAAAAAA